ATTTGTACTTCATATACAAATATCACAAATTTGAAGCCAAAATAAATATCTTTTATTAAAAAAAATCACAAATTTGATCCCAGATAGATGGACATATGAGGGTCCATAATAACCAAAAGGGGTATTTGTACTTCATATACAAATATCACAAATTTGAAGCCAAAATAAATATCTTTTATTAAAATCACAAATTTGACCCCAGATAGATGGACATATGAGGGTCCATAATAACCAAAAGGGGAAAAAAAAAAAAAAATTAGGTGCAGACAGAATGCCTTTCAGCAGAGAACTACACTGTAAAAGCAACTTATGCAGTGGGGAGGGGCGGGGGTGGAGAGGAATGGGTAAAGGGGCATGAAAATCAAGTACAATGTATTTTAAGAAGTAAAACTTAAAAAAAAACAGCTTATGCAATCAACACATACTGAGCCAGGCATTGCCCAGGCCCGAGGACCTGCCTGGAGAAACCTGCTGTTCTAGGGCTCACATTCCAGAGGGGGAGGCAGTCAGTAAGCAGGTAAAAGACAGATATTCAAAAGGTGTGTGTGTGTGTGGTGACATGCAGGGAGTATGGGGGAAATTTCTCCCGAGGAGACACTGCAGAGCCCAGACCTGTAGAAGGTAATAGAAGAGGAAGGGTGAATGGGGGAAATGGTGATGATGGAGATGGTGACGGTTGAGATTGGAGGTGATAGTGGTGGTGGTGGTGGTAGTAGTGGTAAAGATGGTGGTGGTGGTGGTTGTGATGGAGGTGGTGGTGGTGGTGGTGGCAGTGTTGGCAGTGGCATGACATAAATCTTTATTCTTTGAGAAAAGTGGAGCCCTGATAGAATGTCTTTTGACAGCATTTAGAGTTCCACAGTTACTTCTAAACCCTACTGTAGTAGCAACAGAGGGAGAGGAGAAATTGACAGCTGAGCCTCTGACAACCTTTTTCTTTTCTTTTTTTAAAACAGCTTAATTAAGATGCAATTTATATACCATAAAGTTTACCTGTTTAATGTGGACAATTTATTGATTTTTATTTGTGCAACCATTACAACAGATAATCTTAGAACATTTTCATCACCCCAAAAGAAATCCTGTGCCCGTTAGTAGTCATTCTCTGTAAACCCCCACCCCCAGTCCCCAGCAATCACTGATCTTTCTGTCTTTATGGATTTGCCTGTTCTGGACATTTCTTATCAGCGGAATCAAACACTCCCACCCAACAGCCACAAATTCCCTGTGCCCCATGTCCTGGTGGAGAAATGTCAGAGCAGGCCCTGACTTTACCCAGGAAGAGGTCAGGAATGCTGGTCCCATATCGGTTCATTTTGCACTTTGCTCTGTAGAAGTGGGATTGCAGAAGAAAAGTTCTCACTGCAGCTGTGGTCACATACAGATTTTCTTGAATTTCTCAAACGTGGTTTGTTTCTGTGCTTGCATTGGGTTTGTGTGTAGCTTTCTGTCTGTTTCTTGTGGCCGTGTCTGGGAAGTTGCCCCCCTCTGCCCCTCTAATAAATCTTCAAACCCAGGGGGGTCCTGGGAGGAGCTGGTTGCAGCTGTGTGTTCATAGCTAGTGAGAACATTGTAGGCTCAAGGCCAGCTGGAGGCCCAGTCAGCTATACCTTGCTGGGTTCTGTTGTGTACCTAGCTCATTGTTTGCCAGCAGTTCCAATCAAGAGATTTCACCTAAGCTCCTTGAATTGAATTCTGGCTTCTCTTGAATGATGCAGCTGCCCTCCTGTACATGGGGATTTAGCTGGGGTGGGGGGAGGGTTGACCAGGACCTGAACTCTGATTTGCTGCAGTCTCCTCCACCCTCTGTTGTCCCGCACTCCTGGCTGACTTCTTATGCCTCCTACCTGGTTCTGTAGATGGGTCAGTCCAGGTCTGCAGGTCTATGCCATTTCCACCAATCTCCAGAGTGGGCTACGTACTTCCTACATTTTTTGCAAATATACATATATTTTTTATTTCAGATTTTTAGTTGTTTTCATGAGAGGAGCAATCCTGACACCTAGCCCCCCTCTATGTTATTAGGAATTAAAGTCTCTGTAATAGATTAACAGACCTTGCATTTCTGGGATAAACCCAAATCTGGTATGGTATTACCTACATCATGTATATAACCATGCATGGTTGCAATGAGTTTGCTGATTTTAAGGTTTTCACATCTGGATTTATAACTGAGATTGTCCTGTAATTTTGCTTTTTCATCCTATCTATGGCTGATCTTTTTTTTTAATTCTGGTAATACCAGTCTGATAAAATGAGTAGCCCCTCTCACTTTTATGTTAATTTTTATCTATACAAGTACAAAATTGGCGTTCTATTGATATTTAATAAGCAATTGCTTGGAAATAATTCTGCATGAGCTCTGGATGTGGTGGGTGCACAGTTGAGTTCAGAGACCCTGGCTTTGGTCTCCTGGTGTCCCCATGGTCTGCATCTCACCCTATGTGCATCTCTATCTCCATGTCCTTTGCAGATCCTTGAGTCCTGGCACTGGCCGAGCTCCTCTGGGCATCCTGTCATCCTTGGCGTCTCTCCCTTGGAGCCACCTTATCCCTGGCTTGACACAGTCACATTTTTGGGTGTAGGTTTGGAAAGATGCTGCCTTTGGAGAAGGCGTTTGCCTCCCCCAGGAGCTCCCTGGTCCCTCAAGAACTGCCCATTCCAGCTGCCAGAGTCCAGCAGGAGGAACCTGAGACCACGCCTAGGAGGTCCCCCGCCGACCTTGAGTTCTCCCGCTTGCGCTTCCGGGAATTTGTCTACCAGGAGACTGCTGGACCCCACCAGACCCTGGCCCGGCTCCACGAGCTGTGTCGCCAGTGGCTGAGGCCTGAGGCACGTTCCAAGGAACAGATGCTGGAGCTGCTGGTGCTGGAGCAGTTCCTGGGCATCTTGCCTGACAAGGTCCGGCCGTGGGTGGTGGCACAGTATCCCGAGAGCTGCAAGAAGGCGGCCTCCCTGGTGGAGGGCCTTGCTGAGGTCCTGGAGGAGCCAGGTGAGGCTGCTGTCCTAGAAGAAAGCATGCCTTAGAGGAAACGGGGGAGAGGGTGGTCCTGGAAGGACTGGAATCCTTAGCATAGAGCCCAACCTCAGCCTTGGTTTACCCGAGAGCACTTAGTTCTCCCATGTGTGACAGGCACAAAGATGAGCAGCCCCAAGTTGCTTGGGCACAGGGTTGTCTTATGGGCCAGGACAGCTGCTTGGGCTTCTTCTCTCACACCTATCTTCCAGATGTAAGGAAGCAGGAGGAATGAGGGAGGGCAGTCAAGGGCAGGGACCAGTCTCTTAAAGACTGGTGAAATATTCTGGGTATGTTGAGGGGGTAGTGATGGGGCCCAGGAGTCCACAGGCTCAGGGTCAGAACCTGGGTCCGTGCTTGTACCCCTGTGGTTTACTGTGTGATTGTTAGCACATGCCCCAAACTCTTGAGGTCACTGTTCCCTCGGTTGTACACAGGGATGCTGTTGAGTTCCCCTGCTGGGTCATCTTCAGCTTTCAGCGAGGGAGTGTGGGAGAGACACGCAGAGCCTCCACTGTTACAAGGTGGGCCAGCGAGTCCCAGCAGAAACCCTGGACCTGGGGAGGCCCTCGCACCCCCCGAGACTCGTGAGTGACCAGCCAGCCCACCAGCCTCTCAGGCTGGGCCTTAGCTGGGGTGGTGGGCAGGGGTCTGTGATTGGGAGATCGCAGGAGGATGACGCTTTGGAGGCAGCAGGCGAGCCAAAGGGAGGCCGTGTAGTGGAGGCCTTGAAGTCCAGGCTATAATTGGGACTTAACTCCTGTAGGTTCTCGTGAATTTTAGGAGTATTATGTTTTATTAAATTCCTTTTCAGAGATGGTGCAACAAATCATACATGCTTATCACAAATAGTGAAAAAGCATTGATATATAAAGAAAAAGTAATCTCCTCACCCCTCGTACCCTCTAAAAATAAAATTGAGTGTCCCATTGCATGTCTCTTCATGTCTTTATGCACATCACACACCACGTGCAGAGGGTCTGTGGTTGTCTCCCCAGGAACATGATGTGCTTGGCCTGAGCACCTGCTGCTCAGAAGGGGCAGACCCTCCACATGCTCAGCCCTGGCTTGTCTTCAAGTTGGAATTTATTGCCATGAGGTTTCTGCCCCCTTTGAACAAGGCTACAGTAATACGTCCTTACACCTGTGCCTGTCAGGGCCTCTAGTTTGTGTAAGTGGGTTCCTCAGGACCTCTGGAAAATGGGCACATGAGTTTTACATTTCATGTACAGTAGAAACTTCCACGTGATTTCCCTAAAGTTTTGTGGCATATAAAGTGCCAACATAGGAGGGCATCCATTTGCCCACATCAGTGCCAGCACTGTGTGTTGTTGCTTTTTAAGATTTCCACCAATCTAGTGGGTAAAAAAAGTAATATCTTCTTTGTGGCTTGAATTGGCATTTCTGGGGCCACCACTGAGCTTGAGCGCCTTTTTGTTCTCTTCTTGGCTGCTCTGCTCTGTAACTTGAAAATAGATGTCGTGTGAATTGAGCCTTGAGACCTGCCATGATATGAGCACACTGGGGCCTCTCCACTTTTCCTGGGGTCTGTGTGGGGAGCAGGAGCATCTCCGTGACTGTTTTGAGTGTGCCCAGCTTCGGAGAACTTGTCTTCTCAGCTCTGCATTTCTTTCTCCCCAGCCTGGCCTGCTCCAAACCCTGTGCTTCCAGAACAGGGGAATGTTGGGGAAGAAAGGACTGAAGAGGCCAGCCCTGCCAAAGTTGAGCCGAAGGTGAGTAAAGGCTACTTGGGTATTCTGGGGGGCGAGGGGACCACTGTTGGCCCTTGGGGGCTGACTTTGTCCAGTAGCTCACAGGGCCTGTCCCCGAGGAGGAGGGTCTGTCCCCCCGTGGCTTATGGGCATCTCTCCCTCCCCCATTGTGAATACTCTGCCGTGGAGTGGGATAATCGGCCCCAGATGTCCATAGTGCTGAGGCTGAGATACCTGCCCTGGCGGTAACCCAAGGATGGAACCCACGAGAGGCTTGCATCCATGCAAGGTGTGGTGGGTTGGAGCTCCTGGGCTGGTACTGGCGCCCAGTGTGCCTACTGTGGTTACAGGGCTGTGGGTTCATCCTCCTGCATGGGCAGGAGGCCTCAGCTGGGGCTACACTGCCATTTCAGAAGCTAAGGTCGTTTCCAGAGGAGCCTCGACCCATGGGGGAGTGGGGCCACCTGGACCCTGCCGAGGAGAACTTGAAGAGCTACAGGAAGCTGCTCCTGTTGGGTGAGACCCGCCTTCCACGGGCTCGCACTCCACCCTCCATCCTTTTCTAAAACTGTTGTCATGGGGGATTCTGACCCTTCCCCTCCGGGCTTTGGTTGGGACACAGTGGTAAATGAATTTGAACTTGAGTGTGTTTTGAACTTGAACTCATTTGCTGAGGTCCCCACCCTTCCTGGTCTACACATTTGAGTCCTGCCCTTGGGCTTTCAGTTTGCAGCTCCTGCCTGTAGGACCTGAAGCCTCTGAATTTGGAAAAGCCTTGTGGCCCCAAGGCACCAACATTCCCCTCCTTAGTGCAGGGTTGGGGCCTATTGGCCCCGTGGCCTGGCGAGCAGTCTTACTTCTTTTGTAGATGTTCTTGCCCCAGAAACGCTCCTTTGTAGGAAGGCCCAAACACAGACTCCTGAGCCCTTTGTAGTTTTAATTTTATGTTCCCGTATCTTTAACTTTGCCTGTTCTCTGCCCCACCGGCCTGTTCAGCCTTGCCCAGGCAGACCCTCTTCTTTCAGGGGCTCAGCTTTCCAGGGGCTCTGACAGGGAGGCTGCTTTGGTGGGGATGCTGGTGCAGAGAAAAAGACAGGCTACAGCCCTGACCCTGGCCAGCCCACAGGACATGAGGCCTGTCAGCTGCTTTCTGTTTCAACGCCTCTTTTAGATTTTTGGTTTTTTAACCTCACTCAGGGTATCAGCTTTCCCAGCCTGATTTTGCCTCCAGGCTGGACACAGAGGAACTTCGGTTGGTGGAAAGAGACTCGCCAGGAGGCAGCCTCTCAGGTGAGGTTGGGTTAGAGAGAGGTGATTAGGGGCTGGGGTGGGCAGGGTGCCTTTCTCTCAGAGGCTGACAGGGCCTCCTCACAGCTCCACTGGCTTCAGCCAAGACTTCAACTTTGACTTTACTCATTTTCCCACCCACCATGTCAGAGCAGGAGGCAGGAATCCAGTTATTTTAATAATCTCTGGCTTTGTAACAAACCATCCCAAAACTCAGTCACCTAAAATTACAGTGTTGTCAATGACTATGATCATGTGGGTTGATTGGGTTCAGCTGGGTGGCCGTTCTGCTCCATTTGGTGGCTGCTAGGGCTGTGCACATAGTGCACTCACTTAGAGGCTTGACCAAGGCTGGTTTGTCCCAGATGACCTCCCTCCCATGGCTGGCAGTGGGTGCTCCTGACAGGGGGCTTAGCTGGGGCTGTTGACCTGGGTTCTCCTTCATGTTACCTCCTCAAGTTGGTTGGGCTTCCTCACAGTATGGCATCTGTGTTCTGAGAGAAAGTGTTCTAGGAGGGTGAGCATTACCAAGCCTCTGCTTGCATCATGCAAGCTAATGCAGGTCACATGGCCAAGCCAGTGTGTGTGTGGGAGGGGAGACCACCCAAGGGTAGGATTCCTGAGGGATGTAGTTTACTCCGGGCCACACAAGAGCTCTTGGTCCTTCCTGGTGGCAGCCTGGGCTCCCTTCCTCTTTCAACCCTGTCTGTGTGGCCTCTATTACCAGAGTCACCTCAGTCCATGATGGCTGTTCCAGGTCTCACGCCCACAGCAGCAGGGAGGAGGCCCCTCCCCAGTCTTCTGCTGATGCCCACTGGTGAGAATGTAGGCACGTGGCCACTTCAGCTGAGGGGCAGGCTGGGAGTAACAGGCTTTCTCCAGGCAGCCATGAGTTCAGCTGACGTTCAGGGGCTGTGAAGAAGGGAAGACAGACAGGGGGACAGGAGGCAGGCTTGTGAGACCAGCAAGGCATGACACTGCCTTGGGCAGCTATGTGGTCTTGCTCATCAAGTCCACTGCCCTGAGGTTGTCAGAAGGCTGACTGAGGCTGTGCATGCCAAGTGCTTTTCCCTTTGCTGGGCTTTGGGGGCCTCACATACTCTTTTTATAGGCCCTCCCACCCATTTGGCAGTTTCCGTCTCTGAACCCTGGGAGTTGGGACTGCTCACATTCTGGCCTTGTTTCAGGTGGCGGGAGGTGGCAGGAAAGCACAGGGAGCATGGGTGAGGAAGCGTCCATGCGTGAGACGCTGATGGAGAGTCTCACAGGGGGCACTCCTATCAACCCCTCATCGGGCACCATCCAGGAGGAGGAAGAGCAGCCTTGGGAGGTTCTGGATCCTCAAGACAGGGAGTTGAGCCCTGTCACCATGGCTCAGAGACAGTCAGTCATCCAGAAGCCAGCCCAGACCACCCCGCTGCCAGGCCTTGGAACCAAGAGGCCCTACCCAGAGGATGGGGGTGGACAGGGCCTTGAGTGTGTCTCTAGCCGGAGCATCTGCCAGCCCCGCCACGGGAGGAAGGAGCCTGGTGCAGCGGGCCATGGTGCAGGGTTCCTGGCTGGGCAGGACCCGGGTACCTCTGCTGCCGGCTGCCCTGTGGCCGCTGTGCCAGGAGCATCCCGAGGGAAGCCCTACACCTGCAGTGAGTGTGGGGAGGCCTTCGCATGGCTCTCACACCTCATGGAACATCACAGAGGCCACAGCGGCAGGAAGCGCTATGCATGCCAGGGCTGCTGGAAAACCTTCAACTTCAGCCTGGCTCTGGCCGAGCACCAGAAGACCCATGAGAAGGAGAAAGGCTATGTGTTGGGGGGGGCCTTGGGCCCCCACCCTGGCACACGTGACACCCACATTAGTGGGAGGATGGGTGGGCTCCCAGAGTGTGTGGAAAGTGATGTGTTTCCTGTGCAGCCTGAGGCACAGGGGTGAACCACTGTGCTGTAAGTGTCTCATGAGAGGGACTGCCTTGCCTGGCTGGGAGTCCCAAGCAATATGTCAGACTCCCTAAAAACCCTTGCGTGGTGGCTTCCTGTTGGTTTCTGTGTGGACATAAGTCAGCTTATGTTCTAAATGAGCTAGTGTGGCTAAAGCACTTAGAGCCGGGACAGGCCCACAGGAAGCCCTCACCTCCTTGTGTACACCCCCTGAGTGTAAGCCGCTGGATGTGAAAGACTCCGCTTGCTTCTGCAGCCATCTTAGCACCACCCACATGCTAGATTGTTTGACATTGTGCAACGTGTAGAGTTGCCTTAAGGTGTGTGATCTTTCTTGAAGTCATCCTTGCTTCAGTTCCTCCTGTTTGAGCTCCCCAGGGTTGTTCAAGCAGAAATCTTGCTAGCTGTTTTGGTCTTTTTGTAAATGTGTGATGTCAAGTTCACTTCTGAATCCCGAAAAGCGGAAACTGTTTCCTTGTGTAACTCACATGTCTTTACCTGTATGGAGTGGCTTACATAAAGATGGCAAAATCACCTGGAGCCTAATAATGCAGGCTTTTCAGACTGTGGGTCCCAGCCCATTAGTGAATTGTGAAATCAAATTAGTGGGTATTACAAAGCAATGAAGTAGAATAAAATAGGTCAAATGCATCATGTAGTAAAGGCAAATATTGTTTTGTGAAACTTTTTAGTCATATATCTAAATATGAGAACTGCTTGCAATGTAAAATGTATTTCTTACTGGGGGGTTGTGATCAAAATAGGTTGAAAACACTAATAAAGGTTGACAAGGAGATCATTGTGTCTGCCAGAGCAAAGAGAACTAAACTCTTTGGGCTACACTGGGTGATCTTTTGCTTTTTGCATTTAATCTCAGATTATAGCATTGTTTCCATTGCCTGAGCTTAAATTTAATTGCTCCCTGTAGATACAGAAGCTGGTGCCTCTTTCTGTCACTGTGTTTGAGCAGGCAATCTGTTGTAATGGCCCCCAAATCACAGAAGCTTAACATAATAAAGATTTATTTCTTCACTCACATGATAGTTCATTGTCTTGTGGTTGTTGTTGCAGCTGCTTGTTTGTGTGTGGGTGGGAGGTTCACTCTGCTCCATGCAGTGATTTGGGGATCCTGTCTCCATCCCTATTGTAGCTCCACTCTCCACTGGACCCTTTGGAACTCTTGGGGAAGACACATCATTCACTTGGGAGATGATATACATCGCTGCCACTCACATATCACTGGAGAGAAATGATCCTGTGGCCCCAGTCACTTGCAAGGGGCTGGGAATTGTCTATCTGGGTGCCTGTCTCTGCCATGGTTACTGAACTCAGTTCCCCTCTTAGCCTGACTACCCCCTCCCCCAAGTCTAATTGTGTCCTTTCAACTCTCATTCCTGGCCTAACCCATGAGTTCACCTTCTGCTGCCACAGGGAGATCTCCCCCTATGACACATCCCACTCTTAGCTCTTGGGCCATGGATGAGTTGTTTATTATGAAGCCTGGCATCTCGTCTCTTCAGTTTCTCATCTCATGTCTCAGTGCACAGCTAGATGCCTGTGCCTTTTTTTGTTTATATTACTTTAAAAACTTTATTTGGAAATAATTTCAAACTCATACAAAAGGCACAGAAATAATAAAAATAGTACAAAGAACATTTGTACACATCTCACCAAGACCTACCTATTATCAACATTTTACCCCACTTGCCCAGGATTTCTGTATACGCTCCTGCATCTGGGCTGTGTGAAGTCCACAGTCCTGTTTGTGATGCTTCCGTTGCTCACTGGGTCAAAGTGTTCAATTTCTCCACTTTATTTTTTTTTTCCTTTTTATCTAATAAGCAATCTGTGGGAAGATGCTTTAAGATCATGCAAATACCCTGCTCCTTATCAAAATCCTGCCCTCCCTCATATTTAGCCTTCATTGATGATTCTTGCCTAAATCAGTCTTTACCATGATGGTTACAAAGTGATGACTTTCCAGCAGTAGCCCTCTTTCCACATTTATGGGCTGGCCCTCCATTCCACTGCCAACTGGCACCCTCTTCTCATTTATTTATCTTTATAATTGGAATGGACTCATGGATTTCTGGTTTTTTCAGTGGTTAATGATTTATAGTTTATTGCTATTATAACTGTTGCTTAGTTATTTTGGTGCTCAAGTTGTCCCAGATGTGGCCAATGGGAGTCTTTTCAGGGTGGTCCCTGTGTCCTTTTGACATGCCTCCATTTTTTTTTTTTTTTGTCTTTTTTCGTGTCCGGCAATGGATCGCAACCCTCAGTGTCGCGCCCGTACTGGACCGGGACCGGCAACGGGATCGCAACCCTCGGTGTTGCTCCCACACCTTGCTCAGCCAGTGAGCGGGAACCGGTTTGTATGTGGGATCCGAACCCTCGGCGGGAGCGCCACCGCACTCCCAAGCGGCGCACTGTAGCAGTGCGCCACCGGGCCGGCCCGACATGCCTCCATTTTTTGAGCACTTCCTTGCTTTTTGGTATAATGAGATGTTTCAAACTCATCGTGTTTCTACCCTTCCTCAGGACTAAAATCAGCTGTTTCTCCAAAGAGCTGGTTCCTTTTAGTGGGCAATGGTATTAGAGACCAAGACTTGGGAACTAGCTGTGTACATTGCTAATAGGGTGTCTTCTGCTGAGCTATGAAACATACTTATGTATATAATATTTCATATGTGAAATATATGTACATATATAAATGTGCATAGGTGCATGCACAAGATGTATCTGTGCATATACACATACATACGCAGCAAAACCTCCATTTCCAACCTGACTCCCTCCATCCCACATTTTTTTTTCCTTTTTGTCTTTTTTACTGACCGGTAACGGGATCGCAACCCTCGGTGTTGCGCCCGCACCGGGGACTAGCAACGGGATCGCAACCCTTGGTGTTGCGCCCGCACCGCGCTCAGCCAGTGAGCGGGAACCGGTCTCCACATGGGATCCGAACCCTTGGCGGGAGCGCCGCCACACTCCCAAGCAGCGCACTCTCCAGTGCGCCACAGGGCCGGCCCCATTCCACATTTTTATGTCCCTTCAACACAGAAGACCAGTACCCCAAAAATCAATATTTACCAATTTAATGAATCCTAAAATGCCTTCAAAATAGTTTCAGAATTTCTTTTCCCAAACTACAACAAAAAAAATGAACATAGAAGATTTCAGGAATTTTTGCTATTCCCCTATACCACCACTACTCTTGGATGATTTATTTTAGGAGCACTCATGGACGATTTATTTTAGAGGGAAACAGAGCCAGATATTCCCACTTGTTAACCCCAGGGGAGGCTGGGCTGGCTCAGGCACTGGGGGCAGTAGGTCTGAACCAAGTGTGTCAACTTCTACACAAAGTTGCAGCAACAGAGGCCATTGAGAAAGAGGAAGCCGATGGGAGGCACAAGAAGGTGGTCCCAGTTTCTCCAGGAAAAGTGTACAGACCACGAACACTGACCTGGGACTCAAAAGTATATAGGATATCTGGGGAAACCCTGGGAGGGCACTGAGAATGAGTGGAGTTTGTGGCTGGTTCATACAGAGTGTGAGAAATTGGCTGTGTTCAAAGGGAAAGGTAAATCACATAAACCTGGCATGACGGGAATATGTTTTAATGGGAAGATGCTTACATGCCCTCTGTTTTATGGACTGAATTGTGTTCCCTCAAAGTTCTGTGTTGAAGTCCTAGTTTCCAATGTGATGATATTTGGACATAGGAGATAATTATGGTTAAATGTCATAGGGGTGGGGCCTTAATCCAATAGAGCTGGTGTCCTTAGGAAGAGACAGCGGAGAATGCTCTCTCTGTGCGTGCATAGGGAAGAGGACATAGCAGATGGCGGCCGTCTCTAGCCAGGAAGAGAGGGCTCACCAGAAACCAACCCCAATGGCACCTTGATCTTGTTCAGCTTCCAGAACAAAGAGAGAAATAAATTTCTGTTGTTTAAGCCACCCAGCCTGTGGTATTTTGTTATGGCAGCCTGAGCGGACTCATACATGCCTGCCATTATCTGGGTTGAAGAGAATTTTGTGAATCAGTGTCAACTAGTGCAATGGTTTTGAAAAGCAAACAACCCAATTGTACTAAGAACCACTATGGCATTTGTGTTCCTTGAGCCTTCAATTTCATGTATGATAATTTTTTCCTAAGGAATTAGTAAAAGCAAAAAGCTACAACGAAGGCTCAAATCTTTTGTGGACCTAGGTGTGATACTAAAAATAAAATATACACAAGTGACTAGGATACCAATTTACATGAAGTTATACCCAGTTCTAGAGGAACTATGACTTAAGTTTTGGTAGAGCCATTCAAAGGAATAGTAAGAAGGCATTAATGATAATTGAGAAGACAAGCAACATGGTAGAATAAGTCTAGTTCAAGTAAAACACAAATATTTATTCTACTGTAACTGTACAACATGGTGGATGTGGTCAAATTCTAGCAGAGAAAGTGTAAACATGAAAATAGTAGTTGTGGCAGGAACATGAGATTATGAGGACATTTATTTTTGCTTTTTGAATTCCCTTGAGAATTCCTTATTTACAGGGCTTTTATAATAAAGTTTATTTTTCACCATTTTGAAAAGAATTCTCAATTATGGAAAAGGTTAAAAACACAGACATGAGGGGAAGGAATTTTTCCCATGCTCCTGTTTCATAGGAACTATTACTTTTGACATCTCAGTATATGTACATGTTATCCAGTCATTTTTCTGTGTATGAGATTTTAGTATGTATGTGTTTGGGAGATAGATATCTATATCTGTATGTAGTCTGTGAGCATTCTCATTATAATTGTGTCTTGGGTATCTTTTTTTTTTTTTTCCTTTTTGTCTTTTTTTTTACTGACCGGTAACNTCATTCACACCAAAGTTGGAAATGCACTGCCCTTGCAAGTGCTGGGCTCTGTCTTCCCCATATCCATGCAGAAATCTCTGGGAATGTGGTTGGTGGAACCAGGGGTCAGTCCAGATTCAATGGGCATGAAGCTCACACAACTGAGGGTGCTCTCTTCAGGAAGAATTCAGAATGACAAAATTAGGAGCTTGATCTTGGAAGGGGTCCATGAGAGTGAGGGACCTTAGAGTTCCAGCTTCATTAACTTTGTGACAAATCCATGAAGCCAGAGCCTCAAAACATGGCCCAGCACAGTCTTCTCTCATCCCAAGAGAACTTGAGTTTGTAGAAAGGACAGTTCCCAGAAGTCTCAATGAAACGATTGGCTTTCCAGCTCCAGCCTCTGGCTGATAAAAAGATCTCTTGAGAGTCGGGATCCTGAGGGACTGGTCACACACAATGGGGCAGCTGCCAGGGACACCCTCCCAGCGAGAGTGGCTTCTGGGAAGTGTAGACTCTAGGACAAGTAAATCTCCCCAGCTCCACACCAAGGCCCTTAGGACTGGGGAGTTCTCTCGGACCTTTCCATGCTGTGGTTCTGTCAGACTTTTCAGGGAGGTTTGCCCTCCTCTCCTCATCCACCACATACAATAATGCTTGAGTTATTATCCCTGGCCAATCTTCACTTTGTCGCAGTATCTCTGCTCTGATTTACCTTGTTTATTTTCTGGTAACCTAATTGTCTGTCTTGCCCACTACCTTGCAACCCAGTGAGGCCAGGGGCATTTNAGCGGGAGCGCCACCGCGCTCCCAAGCGGCGCACTCTCCAGTGCGCCACCAGGCCGGCCCAAGTCTTGGGTATCTTAAGTGAACAAATGAGTGAGTGGTCTGGTGGGCTGCAGGGAGACACCGTGGACTCTCTTCACTCAGGCAGATGGCATAACAAGATGGACTGGTATGTTTCTGATGTGGAGAAAGGCAGATCCTCCATTCTGCCCACCCTGATTCCAAGGAATAGTCAGGGACTGAGCTTTTTCCTCACCCCTGAGAGGCTCCTGGGACAGGGCCAAACTTGTGGGCTTCTACAGAGGAACGACTTTGGGAGGCTTGGGCATGATTTTCATGTAATGCATCCAGGTCCCTGTTTCAGAATCACCCAGTGCCTTGATGTGCAGCTTACCGAACACAGC